CGTGATGGTGTTGATGGTGGCGAGGGCGTGATGGTGTTGATGGTGGCGTGATGGTGTTGATGGTGGCGTGATGGTATTAATGGTGGTGAGGGCGTGATGGTGTTGATGGTGGCGTGATGGTGGTGAGGGCGTGATGGTGGTGATGGTGGCCAGGGCGTGATGGTGGTGATGGTGGCGAGGGCGTGATGGTGTTGATGGTGGCGAGGGCGTGATGGTGTTGATGGTGGTGAGGGCGTGATGGTGTTGATGGTGGCGTGGGCGTGATGGTGGTGATGGTGGCGTGGGCGTGATGGTGGCGAGGGCGTGATGGTGTTGATGGTGGCGAGGGCGTGATGGTGGTGATGGTGGCGAGGGCGTGATGGTGTTGATGGTGGCGAGGGCGTGATGGTGTTGATGGTGGCGTGGGCGTGATGGTGGCGAGGGCGTGATGGTGTTGATGGTGGCGAGGGCGTGATGGTGTTGATGGTGGCGAGGGCGTGATGGTGTTGATGGTGGCGAGGGCGTGATGGTGTTGATGGTGGCGGGGGCGTGATGGTGTTGATGGTGGCGAGGGCGTGATGGTGTTGATGGTGGCGAGGGCGTGATGGTGTTGATGGTGGCGGGGGCGTGATGGTGGTGAGGGCGTGATGGTGTTGATGGTGGCGAGGGCGTGATGGTGGTGAGGGCGTGATGGTGTTGATGGTGGCGTGGGCGTGATGGTGGTGAGGGCGTGATGGTGTTGATGGTGGCGAGGGCGTGATGGTGTTGATGGTGGCGAGGGCGTGATGGTGTTGATGGTGGCGAGGGCGTGATGGTGTTGATGGTGGCGGGGGCGTGATGGTGTTGATGGTGGCGTGGGCGTGATGGTGGCGAGGGCGTGATGGTGTTGATGGTGGCGAGGGCGTGATGGTGTTGATGGTGGCGAGGGCGTGATGGTGTTGATGGTGGCGAGGGCGTGATGGTGTTGATGGTGGCGTGGGCGTGATGGTGTTGATGGTGGCGAGGGCGTGATGGTGTTGATGGTGGCGTGGGCGTGATGGTGGCGAGGGCGTGATGGTGTTGATGGTGGCGATGGGCGTGATGGTGTTGATGGTGGCGTGGGCGTGATGGTGTTGATGGTGGCGAGGAGGGCGTGATGGTGTTGATGGTGGCGTGGGCGTGATGGTGTTGATGGTGGCGAGGGCGTGATGGTGTTGATGGTGGCGGGGGCGTGATGGTGTTGATGGTGGCGAGGGCGTGATGGTGTTGATGGTGGCGGGGGCGTGATGGTGTTGATGGTGGCGAGGGCGTGATGGTGTTGATGGTGGCGGGGGCGTGATGGTGTTGATGGTGGCGAGGGCGTGATGGTGTTGATGGTGGCATGGGCGTGATGGTGTGGTGGAGGGCGTGATGGTGTTGATGGTGGCGAGGGCGTGATGGTGTTGATGGTGGCGTGGGCGTGATGGTGTTGATGGTGGCGAGGGCGTGATGGTGTTGATGGTGGCGAGGGCGTGATGGTGTTGATGGTGGCGGGGGCGTGATGGTGTTGATGGTGGCGTGGGCGTGATGGTGGCGAGGGCGTGATGGTGTTGATGGTGGCGAGGGCGTGATGGTGTTGATGGTGGCGAGGGCGTGATGGTGTTGATGGTGGCGTGGGCGTGATGGTGTTGATGGTGGCGGGGGCGTGATGGTGTTGATGGTGGCGAGGGCGTGATGGTGTTGATGGTGGCATGGGCGTGATGGTGGTGAGGGCGTGATGGTGTTGATGGTGGCGAGGGCGTGATGGTGTTGATGGTGGCGAGGGCGTGATGGTGTTGATGGTGGCGAGGGCGTGATGGTGTTGATGGTGGCGGGGGCGTGATGGTGTTGATGGTGGCGAGGGCGTGATGGTGTTGATGGTGGCATGGGCGTGATGGTGGTGAGGGCGTGATGGTGTTGATGGTGGCGAGGGCGTGATGGTGGTGATGGTGGCGGGGGCGTGATGGTGTTGATGGTGGCGAGGGCGTGATGGTGTTGATGGTGGCATGGGCGTGATGGTGGTGAGGGCGTGATGGTGTTGATGGTGGCGAGGGCGTGATGGTGTTGATGGTGGCGGGGGCGTGATGGTGTTGATGGTGGCGGGGGCGTGATGGTGTTGATGGTGGCGGGGGCGTGATGGTGTTGATGGTGGCGAGGGCGTGATGGTGTTGATGGTGGTGAGGGCGTGATGGTGTTGATGGTGGCGGGGGCGTGATGGTGTTGATGGTGGCGGGGGCGTGATGGTGTTGATGGTGGCCAGGGCGTGATGGTGTTGATGGTGGCGTGATGGTGTTGATGGTGGCGTGGGCGTGATGGTGGTGATGGTGGCGAGGGCGTGATGGTGTTGATGGTGGCGAGGGCGTGATGGTGTTGATGGTGGCATGGGCGTGATGGTGGTGAGGGCGTGATGGTGTTGATGGTGGCGAGGGCGTGATGGTGTTGATGGTGGCGTGATTGTGTTGATGGTGGCGAGGGCGTGATGGTGTTGATGGTGGTGAGGACGTGATGGTGTTGATGGTGGCCAGGGCGTGATGGTGTTGATGGTGGTGAGGACGTGATGGTGTTGATGGTGGCCAGGGCGTGATGGTGTTGATGGTGGTGAGGGCGTGATGGTGTTGATGGTGGCGAGGGCGTGATGGTGTTGATGGTGGTGAGGACGTGATGGTGTTGATGGTGGCCAGGGCGTGATGGTGTTGATGGTGGTGAGGGCGTGATGGTGTTGATGGTGGCGGTGCGCCTGTCATCACATCGATGGAACCGAAGCCGCGATTATGTTGACGTCATTGCTGCTAATGCTTTTTGTGGCTTCAAACCTTAGCCGTGCAGTATCGATAGTTCAATTTTAATGTGCAGCTTTTATTGATGGACTGTGTGTGTTGTCTTGGTGTGGTCTGGGACTGTTGCTGTTGTTGTTTTGCTGCCTTGCCAAAACTTGAATTTAGTGTTGTAAATCGACAGGAATGTACGTACTGATGCAATTTATGCTAAGATCCTTTATGTGTTTGTATTTATGTTGACTGCCTTGCTTAACTTTTCTCTAATTTGCAGTTATTTTTTGTATTGTGTTTGTTGTAACTTTCTGACCCCGTGCCCCCTACTAAACATCTATGACAAAGAGCTTTATAGCTCATCAGATTCCTCCTGATAGAGATCGAATCTGACTGTGAAGCGCCAAATGCATGGTGGTTGGCGTTCATGATGCGTTCTCATTGTTAGTGGTGGAGGAATGTCTGCAAGTAACATTGTTGATGGTGAGTGGACCAGCTTGATGGTAGTGTTGATGGTGATTGGACCAGTGTGATGGTAGTGTTGATGGTGATTGGACCAGCTGGATGGTATTGGTGACAGTGATTGGACCAGCTTGATGGTAGTGTTGATAGTGATTGGACCAGCTGGATGGTAGCGTTGATAGTGATTGGACCAGCTTGATGGTAGTGTTGATGGTGATTGGACCAGCTTGATGGTAGTGTTGATGGTGATTGGACCAGCTTGATGGTAGTGTTGATGGTGATTGGACCAGCTTGATGGTAGTGTTGATAGTGATTGGACCAGCTTGATGGTAGTGTTGATGGTGATTGGACCAGCTTGATGGTAGTGTTGATGGTGATTGGACCAGCTTGATGGCATTGCTGATGGTGATTGGACCAGCTTGATGGTAGCGTTGATGGTGATTGGACCAGCTTGATGGTAGTGTTGATGGTGATTGGACCAGCTTGATGGTAGCGTTGATGGTGAGTGGACCAGCTTGATGGTATTGTTGATGGTGATTGGACCAGCTGTATGGTATTGTTGATGGTGATTGGACCAGCTTGATGGTAGTGTTGATCGTGATTGGACCAGCTTGATGGTAGTGTTGATGGTGATTGGACCAGCTTGATGGTAGTGTTGATGGTGATTGGACCAGCTGGATGGTAGTGTTGATGGTGATTGGACCAGCTTGATGGTAGTGTTGATGGTGATTGGACCAGCTTGATGGTAGTGTTGATGGTGATTGGACCAGCTTGATGATATTGTTGATGGTGATTGGACCAGCTGGATGGTAGTGTTGATCGTGATTGGACCAGCATGATGGTAGTGTTGATGGTGATTGGACCAGCTTGATGGTATTGTTGATAGTGATTGGACCAGCTTGATGGTAGTGTTGATAGTGATTGGACCAGCTGGATGGTATTGTTGATAGTGATTGGACCAGCTTGATGGTATTGTTGATAGTGATTGGACCAGCTTGATGGTATCGTTGATGGTGATTGGACCAGCTTGATGGTAGTGTTGATGGTGATTGGACCAGCTTGATGGTATCGTTGATAGTGATTGGACCAGCTTGATGGTAGTGTTGATAGTGATTGGACCAGCTTGATGGTATCGTTGATGGTGATTGGACCAGCTGGATGGTATCGTTGATAGTGATTGGACCAGCTTGATGGTAGTGTTGATGGTGATTGGACCAGCTTGATGGTAGTGTTGATGGTGATTGGACCAGCTGGATGGTATCGTTGATGGTGATTGGACCAGCTTGATGGTATTGTTGATGGTGATTGGACCAGCTTGATGGTAGTGTTGATGGTGATTTGACCAGCTGGATGGTAGCGTTGATGGTGATTGGACCAGCTTGATGATATTGATGATGGTGAGTGGACCAGCTTGATGGTAGTGTTGATGGTGATTTGACCAGCTGGATGGTAGCGTTGATGGTGATTGGACCAGCTTGATGATATTGTTGATGGTGAGTGGACCAGCTTGATGGTATTGTTGATGGTGATTGGACCAGCTTGATGGTATTGTTGATGGTGAGTGGACCAGCTTGATGGTATTGTTGATGGTGAGTGGACCAGCTGGATGGTATTGTTGATGGTGAGTGGACCAGCTGGATGGTAGTGTTGATGGTGATTGGACCAGCTTGATTGTATTGTTGATGGTGAGTGGACCAGCTGGATGGTAGTGTTGATGGTGATTGGACCAGCGTGATGGTATTGTTGATGGTGATTGGACCAGCTTTATGGTAGCGTTGATGGTGATTGGACCAGCTTGATGGTAGTGTTGATGGTGATTGGACCAGCTGGATGGTAGTGTTGATGGTGATTGGACCAGCTTTATGGTAGCGTTGATGGTGATTGGACCAGCTTTATGGTAGCGTTCATGGTGATTGGACCAGCTTGATGGTAGTGTTGATGGTGATTGGACCAGCGTGATGGTAGCGTTGATGGTGATTGGACCAGCTTGAGATGGATGTGAAGTAGGGGTCACGTGTTGTTCTTAACAGTCAAGGTGGGGGGTTGGGGGGGCAAGCTTCCCTCTCTTCAATAAAACATTCCCCATATTAAATCCACACAGAGTTTTTGGGGGGGACAGGCGGGACAGTGATGATGGCGATGATGACGATGGTGATGACAATGGTGAAGATCTTTTCGGATCGGCACCAAAGATAAAGATCCCCCGTATAGCCTTAACAGACTGTTGGGACAAGTGCTGTTAGCGAGCACCTATGAAGGCCAGCAGGGTACACGAGGGGGTGGGTGGCCAACGCCACGCCCGGCCGTCTTTGTCTCCACGGCGGCGATGATGTTTATACGCCGCGCCAGGTACTAATTTGCGGCTGAGTCAACCTCGGGGAGGTAGCCGTTAAGCAGGAATTGAACTCGGGTCACCGGGTTCGTAGCGCAGTGCGCGCTCACCGCTCCCGGTTATGAGCACCACCACCACTACCACCATCGCCACCACCACCACCAGGGGATTTCAGCCGATGCGTACCGCAGCTAAAAAGCAACGCGGAGGCGAACAAGGCTTCCAGACGACGACGATGATGCATGGGGAGGAGAGAGAGAGAGGGGGAGGGGGGGAAGAAAAACAACCGCAAAACTCCAGAAGTAAACACGGAATCAAGGACACACTCGGCAAGCGAAACGTCACCACATGCACGCCGCTGAAGCGCAGACGTCACCGCCGCCACCACCGCAGCAGCAGCAGCAGGCGAGCGGCGGTGGCGGTAGCCGCGGTAAGAAATTCGCTCTCATCGTCATCATGGGGGGCAGGGGTGGGGGGAGATTTGCGTCGTCTCCCATCTCGGCTTTCGCTCGAGCGACGCTCGTTTATTACGCAAGCCTTCGGGCGGGGGAGGGGGGGGCAGCAGGAGGAGGGGGGCACTGCACATGCAAAGCTTGCAGCGAGTCGGCAGTGGGTGGGGGGCGGAGGGAGGGGTCGCCAGGTCAGAAGTGGCACCTCTTCACGTCTGGAGCTCTCCCACCGTCGTGGCCACCGGCTGGAGCGGAGCGATTGCTCACAGGGGGTGGGGTCCAAGCGTGGAGAGAGCGAGCGCCGATTGATGTGCTTGTGCGATTCGTACTTTTTTTATATATATATTTTATAATTTATGGTTAGCGACTTGCCTAGCTTTCCCCTCTGCTTTGCACTCCCGCCGTTGTGTTTTTGTTCCGTTTGTTGTGAATTTGTCTGACGCGCCCCTCAACTGATTATCTGTGGGGGGAAAAGAGCTTCATAGCTCATCGGATTTCTTCCGGTCTAAAATCGAGATTCCGATTCTGGACGGCTCGCAGCAATCAGAAAGGTCGCGCGAGTTCAAATCCTGGTTGGGAGTTGACTCCGCCCATCATCCCTCTGGGGCCGATATAATTAGTACCATTTTGTGGGCAAGTCAACAGTGGTTGTCCGATGGAACGTCTCTCCCCCGCCATAGGAATAGGGATTGTCCCCACTACTGGCTGTAGGCAATTTGGTAAGAAATCACTTTGACTTTTTTCGAAATAATTATAGTTTTGGATCGTCGTTTTTAAATTAAATCGGCTGATATTTCGCTCATTTTGTAGTCGACTAATAAAACCACAAGTTCACACCCTGGCCCTGACCAGAGAGCCACTCTTCAGGATTATGAATCTCGGCCGTTCCGTGGAGATTCTGCTCCCTGGCATGGGAATGTGGAATTTCCACAGCAGGCTCGGGGCTGCCGACTGAGACGAGCAGAGCCCCGCGACTCGCTCGAGCGGCACATCGGTTGAGCCTCTCCGATTGCGAATTCGGGTTTGTTCCCGCGTGTTGTCTGGGCGCGATGTCCGACGTTTCGCTCCACGTGCTGGAGACTGCCTCCAGCCAACCGAATTCTTCGCTTTCAAAGAACTTCAGGAGGAGCTGAAGAATTCCTCCCCGGCTTGTGGAGCGAAAAACGTCGGAACGGACGTCGCGCGTCCGACGACACGCAGCTGTCAACCGTTCGGAATTCGATTTAAAACGTCGACCGCTGTTTGCAATCGCCAGACTCTGCAGAGGTTTCAACTCCTGATTGTGGCCAGGTAGGGGCGGGGGCAATGTGGGAGCGCAGGCTGGGTAGGGAAGTGGGGATGGGTGCAGCGTGGGCTGGGGTGAAGGCATTAGAGGGTCTCGGAGCAGAGCGCTCGCTCCAGCTCGTTCCTGTAGAGCTTCCCGCCGTCCGAGAGGGCCATGATGTTCTTGCGGTAGACCGTCATGGCCTGGATGTCCGTCTCCTGTGGGGCACACACACACACACACAGCGCACACACACACAGCGCACACACACACAGCGCACACAGCGCACACGCACAGCGCACACACACACACACAGCGCAAACACACAGTGCACACACACACACAGTGCACACACACAGCGCACACGCACAGCGCACACAGCGCACACACACACAGCGCGCACACACAGCGCGCACACAGCGCACACACAGCACACACACACACAGCGCGCACACACACACAGCACACACAGCGCACACACACACACAGCGCACACACAGTGCACACACACAGTGCACACACACAGTGCACACACACACACAGTGCACACACACACAGCACACACACACAGCACGCACACACAGCACACACACACAGCGCACACACACAGCGCACACACACACACACAGCACACACACACAGTGCACACAAACACACAGCGCGCACACACACAGCACACACACACACAGCACACACACACAGCGCGCACACACACACACAGCGCACACACAGCGCACACACACACAGCGCACACACACAGAGCACACACAGCACACACACACAGCACACACACAGCGCACACACAGCACACACAGCGCACACACACGTGAACACACAGCGCACACACACACAGCGCACACATAGTGCACACACACACAGTGCACACACACACACATCACACACACACGTGAACACACAGCGCACACACACACACAGCACACACACACAGCACACACACGCGCGCGAGTGGTGAGCGCGCTGTGAACAACCGCAACGCGCTGGGATGAGAATCCCCGGGGATTTCAGTTTCACTCGCCAGGTGCCACGGTGGCTCGGAGTTGTTCACTACCTCGCCTGGTATGCTGGAGGTTGTGGGTTCGAACCCAACCGTGACGCCTGCTGTATATTTGGAGTTTCATGGTGGCGAGATGTTAACTACCTCATCTGGTATGCAGGAGGTCGTGAGTTCGATCCCGACCCTGACGCTGTATATTTTGAATTTGCGTGTCTCCGGGTTTTGCGGGTTTTCCCCTTCACATTTAGAATCTAGATTTTAAGTTTTCGTTACTGCAAGGATTAGAATCGACGTGCGTTCAGAGTATTTAGCTCCTGCTACAAATGTCCACGCGACAGCCACTTTGTTGAGCTATCATTTGTGGCCAGGTCGCTACTGAAAAATGTCTACTGTATATAGAGGTGCGGTGGAAGGACAACAAACTAAACACAGAAAGCAGCTCTATGCTGATCGTGGCTCCGCTACTGCTGCACGTGGCTGCTGTGACCCAGCGCTGTGGAGGCAGTGGCGAGGGTTGGTGGATCACACACAGATGGGCTGTGAAACTCCCTTCCCGTGGGTAGGGGTTCCAGGAGGTGCCTGTACCCAACAAGTGGACTAAGCGCACCTCTGTTTCTGTTTCCATCTGTACGGAGGGATAGAGCGTTGCCCCCTCGCGCAAGCCCTGGGGTGTATCTGGGTGCTCGGTTTCCTCCTCCGACTTGTGTAATAAACACAACTCGCCATGCATTGTCTGAAAATATCTGAGAATAAAAACCCAATGTAGCGGCAGGACCCTGCTGAACACGAGACCTTCGACTCAATAAGTAGATTACGATCATAAATAAATTTGTAATATTGTATATACAACGCGACTGTGGACGGCAATTGTCCAGAGTGGGTAGCAAACGGGACAACTTTCCCCAGGCCTCACACGAAATCGGGGCACCACATTGGGAGTTGTGGTTGTCCTTCCTCCTCGTGATGAATGAGGAGGGCGGGGGGGGGGGGGGCACCACGTGGCGTTCTGCCCGGGGGCTTCCTCCAGGATGGCTCTGGGCGGCTCACCATCTTCACCGGCTCTCTCACTAACCGGCTCTCTAACTCAGGGGTCCTCAATCCCCGGGCCGCGGACCGGTACCGGTCCGTGACCTGTTAGGAACCGGGCCGCACAGCAGCAGGAGGTGAGAGCGGTGAGTCCGTGCGTGGCCTGCCCCCATTGTTTAATAACACTGGTCAACACACTTTTTCTGGCATAAGGTATTCCAACGGTTTTAAGGTAATTTCGGGGTGCTGATTCCAAATCTGGCATCAGTTTTTGTCTATCACATCAGGTTTTTGAGATATCAAATATTGAATTTTCAATAAAAACTGCAGAAGAAAAATATTAAATAAATGTGGATATCCTACATAAAATGATATTATAAACACACTTTCGTAAAAATACAGCACCATATTTTAACACTAAAGCAGTCACTGGCTCGCAACAACTTGCAATCATAAGTGACAGAGTTAATTTCGGGTAAAATCAATGAAAATGGGGTATGCCGATAGCATAAAAATGAGATGTGATAGAGCAAATCTGAGATCAGATTTGGAATCAGCACCCTGAAATTAGTCTAATACAGCTGAAAAAGTCCAGGCCAGAAAAAAATGTTTTTTTTGTTGACCAGTGTTATTGACCACTTCCGTCCGCGCCTCTTTCCCGCACCGCGCACTTGTCTCGGTCACACAGTTTTGGTAAGCCCACAAGCTCTAACCCCTAGTAGCCACAACGAGTACAAAACAAACGTCGCTGGAGAGCTTCTTTGAAAAGAGGGAAAGACCCAATGATGACCCCCCCCCCTCCCCCGGTCCGTGAAAAAATTGTCTCCCACGAAACGGGTCCCTGGTGCCAAAAACGTTGGGGACCGCTGCTCTAACTCACCTCCTGCGGCCTCGCAGATGCCCTCCTGGTGAGCGCTGCGAGGAAACGCAACCATCGCTGCACCGTTGAGCTCCCCACTCTCCGCTCACTCGGAGCCTTCAAAGCGACGCGCGAGTTTGTCCCAGCGGCGATAAAAACTAAAAGCCACCGTTTAAACTATTATTAAAAAAATATACACACCAGGTAAAGGCCCACTTAGCTGTGTGGCTCTTTTTTTCAGAAGCGACGTTGGCAATCGCAAATGATCACTCAACGAAGTGACTTGTCAGCGCATGGAAATGGAGAGCAGCCACATACCCTAAACCAGTGGTTCTTAACCTTTACTGCAGCCCGCAATCCCCCATTGGTTTTCCATCATTATAAATACATAATGCTAATAAATACATAGGGTTGATTAAACAAAGTCGTTACATACTTTTTGGTTCTTTCGGTAAAGTCACGTAGGTAGAAAATTAAATAAATGCAATAAATGTTCTTAATTATATTTTTAATTTAATTAATTACATTTCGTTTATACCTATGTGACTTTACCGAAAGAACCAAAGAGTATGGATCCCTGTAGTGACGAAAACTTCAAATATAGATTGAAAGTCGTTACATGCCCGTGATTAATTTGTGCTTTTGACGATTTACCTTCCAAAAAAATCTGGTCCGTCTCACCCCACCAGAAAGGGCATCTCGCAATTCCAGGGGGTGCGTGCAACCCAGGCTAAAAACACTGCTCTAAGCGCACGCTGATTCTAAATACGGAGGGGAAACCCAGATGACCCGGATAAAAATCCATGCGACCACCACGGGGAGAGAGACACGCACATTCAAAATATACAGCAGACGTCAGGGTCGGGATCGGGATCGAACCTACAACCTCCTGCATACCAGGCAAGGATTTTAACATCTCGCCACCATGAAACTCCAAATATACAGCAGCAGGCGTCAGGGTCAAGATTGAACCCACGACCTCCTGCATACCAGGCGAGGTAGTTAACATCTAGCCACCGTGATGATGATGAGAGAGAGACACACAAACCCCAAATACACAGCAGGCGTCAGGGTCGAGATCGAACCTACGACCTCCTGCATACCCGGCAAGGGAGATAACAACTCACCACCATGAAACTCCAAATTTACAGCAGGCGTCAGGGTCAGGATCGAACCCACGACCTCCTGCATACCAGGCGAGGTAGTTAACATCTCCTAGCCACCGTGATGATGATGAGAGAGAGACACACAAACCCCAAATACACAGCAGGCGTCAGGGTCGAGATCGAACCTACGACCTCCTCCATACCCGGCAAGGGAGTTAACATATCGCCACCATGAAACTCCAAATTTACAGCAGGTGTCAGGGTCAGGATCGAACCCACGACCTCCTGCATACCAAGCGAGGTAGTTAACATCTCCTAGCGCGAGTGCGGTTCCATTTGCGCGCTGCTCCGCCTGCCCCAGCTGCGTCCCGCGCTCGTTATTTAGCGAGCTCCTTGTTCCATTGTTTATTTACTCGCCCCTTTTGTGAGCTTGAACTTTCATCAAAAGCCGTTTCTGGGGAATAAATACTTTTGAAATTGCTTCGAGCGCAGCGCTGCGTGTTTGTGTGTTTGTGGTGGGCGGGTGTGCTTACGTGGTGTGTGTGATGTGTGTGCTTTGTGTGGGTGTTTGTGTGTGATGTGCATGCACGTTGTGTGTGTATGCGTGATATACGGTAGTGTAGCGAGTAGCGTGCTGCCCTACAAACCCAGCGACCAAAGTTAAATCCCCAATTAACGACTAACACCGATGACGATTATTTGAACCGGTCCTGGGCTTCCTCGAGGTCGACTCAGCCTAAAATGAGTAATTGGTGTGGTGTGTAATACCGGTACTAGGGATACAAAGGCGGCCGGGCTTGGTGCTGGCCACCCACCCCTCGTGTGCCGTGCCGGTCTTCATAGGTGCTACTCGCTAACAGCACTTGCCCCAACAGTCCGTTAAGGCTATATGGTGGATCTTCGTCTTTGTGTGTATTATGTACCCATATGTTTACTGCGGGAGCTAAGAGCCAGTGGCACGGTGGTGAACGCACTCCACTATGAACCCGTCGACCCGAGTTCAGTTTATGGCTATGGCTAACATCTATACTATTCTTTCAACGTATGCTATTCTAGAGTGAGATGACGGGAGAGACACAGACGAAAGATGTGGGTGTAGTGAGGTGGGAGAAGACAGACAGACGAGGCAGCGTTAGTGGAAGCAGGGAGGAGAGATGCACACAAAAGATGACAGCTATTATGATGAAAAATAAGAATAGGTTTTACCCTTTC